GTGAAAGTTTTTTTACGGGTAAGTTAATATCTCGGGAACCACGGAGTTTAGGAGACTGAAATTTTTGGGTAATGAACCACTGCCCACGCTCAACCTTGTCCATTCAAATTCAGCGTTCTCGCGCTCTCGGATACCACCTACGGCCTCGTGAAAATTCCGGCAGGTAAACTGTTAACTCGGGAATCACGGAAAGATATTCATCGCTCAAGGTTCCGAGTTCAGCTTTCATACGCTGGTGCGTGAAATTTTCAACTGCTTTCCTATGTTTGAACTATTTTTGCATAGAAAAAAGTACAAAGCAGTGAAAATCATTAATAAGCAATCGTCTGAGGGGCTAAATTGCAAAAAACGCGTGATCGCACCGGCTAGTCTGGTGCGCGTTGCCATTTATTAAAATCGCGCCTGGGGCTGCTTGCTTGACTTCAGTTGAATTCAGCCAGCTGTATCTTGATCTTCCGTTTTATCCTCAGCTACCAAGCAACTCATCGGTCTTTTGTTATCCACAAATGCTTTGTTCATTTCTCAAAGTTGGTGCTCCACTTACCCGCGCTCCTGGCTTTCACCGGGGACAAAGCTTTGTTCTCCCTTTCTCTCTCACAACTTACAAAACGAAGACATAGTGAGGTTTCGGAACTAATTCCAAATTTTCAGTGCCATATTTTTTCGAACGCTTTGTTCGCGAAATTTCGTTTTCCTGGCTTATGCAGTCCCTCAGTTAGATCATCCAGGCAAATCCAACCTCCAGCGAAGCAATTCCGGGGAGCAGTGTTCCTGATCGGAACATCCGTGGGGCGAAAGTTCCGAAATCTCCAGACATAGGCGTAGCCAAGACGGACTCCTGGATGAGGGGGAGGGGGAGGACAGAGGAAGGGTGAAGAGGGAGAACGCTCCCCTCTCATCCTAGAACAATTTTAAATCTAGGAATAGAGTTGCAACACTTTATACTTTAATTTATGAACAGACCCGGGCTTTTTGCAGCACTGGTGCCTGTGCCGAAAGGCTCTTCGCCTCTCCCCTTGGGTCCGTCCCTCTGTGTTTTCAGGCGACATGCGGTATTGGGACTGGCGGGCTAAGTAGGTTTGGAGAGAGGCATCCCCCCGTCCCAACATGCCCGGAGGGATCCTGTTGTGGCGGGCAAATGCCGGCCTAGTAACTTTTAAAAATTGCACGCTCGCGCCACCAATTTGCATTTTTCGATGTTTTCTTCATCGTACTGAATGGTACGTGCGCTTCCAAGGTGCGCGTATCGAGTTGGTGTGGACGCGTTATCAACGAGCTTTCGCTCGAATTGCCGTGTTTTGCCCAGGTCGGAGTACGCCGTTCCCGTACGCGGCTATTACGCTCACCTGGGGGATGGGTTTCAGTGCATCAACACCGACTTGCACGGGGAACATCACTGTGAGACTAGAGCGTTCTAGCTTCTCAAATTCCCGAGTTATGAACTCACCGAAAAAAATTTAGCTGGTATTTCTTCACTCCTTTTGCTGCAATTCCTGATACTCTTTTCAGGCAACCTGGACCTCTTTGGTGATCAAATTTGCCACACTCTGCTCTCTCCAACTGCTCGTTTCTTTTGCCAACTAATCTAATGCTCGAGCAAATTTCTGCGCCGCCACCACAGCATGCTGTTGCAACAGTCCTGTCCGGCATTTCTGCAGGCCCTGCTTTTTTTAGGTACTACCCACTGGCACTCAGGCTACCGTTCTTCAGTTCGCGCCTGATCAAAGGAGCGAGCGCTCCTTGCTCCCAGTTTTATGCAGCTGCTTGTTTCTTGGCGCATTCGTACAAATTCGGCTGTCCACAGATCGAGCGCACTGTGTTCGTTTTGCGCGCTGAAGAACTTTCTCAGCAGCTGTATTCTTGGTTCCCATAGGCTAATCGACGTCTTCTTTTTTTTTTTCGTTTTCAAAGAATCCATGTTTCGGGTTTGATCACTTTGCACGTCTCTCGCTCTTATCAAAGTTGCACAAATTTTCGCAGTCGACCGCAGAGGCTGCCGGTAGTCCACCCGTTTTGTGCACTTATTTATTGTCCCAGTCAGTTTTATCGTCATAAAATGTCTTCAAACACATAACATTCAAGTGAAATTCTTCACTTCGCTTCATCTTCTCTTCACTCCGGGCCTGCCAGGGCTGCCTTTGTTCATGGATTGTGCGTTATTTATTCAAGTAACTCGCGTGTTCTGTTTCAGATTTCTCAATCGAACGCGTTTTTTTGGTTTTCATCGTTCAGCAAAATGGCTACAGCTAGACCAGCGTATTCGAGCAAATTGGAAATTGACTCACCACTTTTCTACCATTATATCAGAGGTTAAC